TCTCTCTCTCTCTCTCTCTCTCTCTCTCTCTCTCTCTCTCTCTCTCTCTCTGTCTTTCCCTGTCTGCCTACCAGAGTGCCAAGTACAACACTATCTCTCATTAAATAGCTTCTGATACATTAATTGATACACAACTGTGCTTTGTAGAGCTAGGATGCCACTTTTCAATTGGATAAAATTTGAAAGTCTAATGTAACAAAGGCTTTATCCTTTTAACTGAAGAAATTATAAACCTGTTTCTGCCTATTTCAGATGTCCCTAGAAAACAATCAAGTCAGATGGATGACAAAACTATTTAACTGGAGAAGCACATTATGGTGAAGAAGAACCTGATGTGGGGGTGAAGAGGGTGAGCAAGTATATAATTGTAGTGTTGGGAAAACTATCATAAAATTAATCATTATGGGGTTTTTGGCCGATATGAGCCTTTGTCTGGTAAGTTTTTTCATTTTCTGAGTTAACTAATGCTTTCTTATTTGAAAGATAAGAAAACAAGTGGGAACTGGTGGCCAGAAGATGTGTGAGCTAGCTCACCTTAGATCAGCTACTGGTCAGCAGTGTGTGACCTCTGCAAATTATTTAACCATGCTGTGCCTCAGTTTCCTGCCTACACAGGATGGAACAGATCTCCAAGTTCCTTGCAATGGCTCAATTAGAATATGACAGAGAGAAAGAGCAAGCAAGAATATTTGGTCCGTCGTGGGATTATTGTTTTGGAGAATACTAGAAAGATTGTAGAGAACTCAGGTAAAATTAGCCAAGTTCATATTCTAATCCATAGTATAGTAAAGGGTAGCTCTGAAAAACTAAGTTCATATGCAAAAGCATAATCAAATTTATATTTTCCCAAAGTGTCCCTGTTAGACAAAATTATTAATAACCATGTGTACCAATAGCCTATCATTTCTGCCAAAATGTTGTTAGTCATCATTCATACTTGCCTACATGACCAAATTATTGTATGGACTCAATTTGATATAGGTGAATTCAGTCTGTGTTGCCTGATGTCTTCAATTCATAGGTAGTTTGAATTGAATCCTGACACTAGTTGAAGAGCAGAGATCTATCAATGAAGAGACTTAGGAGCTAGAACCTGAAGGGGCCTTTTTGCATATTTCCTTATTGGAAGTGATTTCAGTAAGCTTCTCTTTGTGTTCCTTTCCTTATTTATTCTTCTCATTTTATTTAATTTTATTTGTGGTGCTGGGGATTGAATTCAGGGCCTCATACATGTCAGGCAAGTGCTGTACCACTTAGATTATCCCACCCCTCCTTTATTTATTCTTAGGTATTGAATAGTTTGATATCATTCACTTTCTATCCAGGTTTTTGTTGAGGAAAATAATATAGTAGAAATGAAAAAGATGCTATTAATTCAAATAAAATATTATGTCAGATGTGCTTTGTTGTACACCTGAATTAATGTTTCCAAAAGTTTCCCAAAGTTAGTAGAGCATGTGGAGACAAGAATTCAGGTCCCCTGGTTGAGAATCCAAGTTGATTCCTACCACCCTTTACTAGTTAAAGAACCTCACAAAATCCTAGAGCTTGGAAGAATCCATTGCCCTATCCATAATACATTTTTAGATGATGTGGTACAGACTCTGGGAAAACAGACAGCTAATCACATCTCAGCAAAAACCAAATTCATTAGAACATTTACTTAAAATAGGAATGTATAATATGGAAATATGAAAATAATTTCATATCAGGCAGAGATCCTCAACCAGGTTTCATGATAGCTGAAACCTAGATATCCATGGATGAGTTACAAAGATCTTGAAATTATAGGCCAAGTGAGCATGTGTATATTGTTCTCAAGAGAAATCCACAACTTTCTTCACATTCCTTATGACTCCAGAAAGGTTAAAAACAACTGATACAAAAACAAGTTATTTTAAATGAACTTAAAAAAAAAAAAAAAAGATACACATTCATTGAAGCCAAATGTCACACTGGCTACAACATGGATAGTATATAATAATTATCAGTATTCAGAATGATGGCCTTGAGACATGATGAAACCCTCAATCAAAGAAATTCACTTAACTGACAACACGAAAATATAGCAACCTATTCAAAATACTTGAATACTGAATTGAAATGAGGTTTCTGTTTTTGTCCAAGCTGGTTGGACAATTCTCTGCGTATTAAGCAAGGTAGATTCATGTAGGAAAATAATCATTGTTTCAAGGAGTAGTTAGGAGTCCACTGCAGCCGAGGTGGCAAAGAATGAGGAGGAAGAACTGGAGGGATATTTGGCAGGGAACTGGAATTCACAGACTTTCATATCTGGTTTGGACAACTGAGTTAAATGTTATTAAAGAGACAGAAAAAAGAAGATTAAGAAAATAATGAATTTGGTCTGAGATACGTTGGCTTTAAAGTTCTTTGGAACAGCCCAATTCCACCAGCCCTGGGAAAGATTAAGAACAGATTTGTGGCTGGAGAAATTTATTTGGGAATCAGCAAGCAGTGAATTGGGGATGGGTTAGGCTGGTAAGACATGTGGCAAAAAAAAAAAAAAAATATGAACATAAAGGACTTAGAGTCTGGAGTAAAGTTGCAGTTATTTGAATGAGATCTAATTTGCAAATTGTGAAATTATATAACAACCAAGGCAAAATAGTATTAGTGATTTTAAGTATTGGTAGACAGCTGTACTGTAGCATAAATTTCAGAAAAGAACAATCCATCTCAGAATTCTACTTCCCCATGAGGTTTTCTGGAGTTCTTTCAAGACACAATTTTCCTTTTGAGATACCACTTTCCCTGCCTGGGTACAGAAGGGAGAAAGAGTTTTCCTTGGCAACCAGGTTCAACTGGAAAAAAATAATCAAGATGTCACCTGATGCCACAAGCTACAGACTATGTTTTCATCTCCATGGACCTGCCAGTTGCTGAAGCAGCAGAGGAAACTCAGTGTCATGGAAAGAACACTAAACTTAGAGTCAGAACCCTCCAGGGTGAGTCTCATTCCTGCCTCTCGCTGCTATTGCAGCGGTGGCCATTCACCCAACTTCTCCACATCTGGATTTCCTCTTTAGTCCCTGCCCTACCGTCACTGGGTCATGATTCCTACCGCACTGGTTTGGAAATTCCCAAAGGGCTGGCATAAGGGGGCATAACCACAGCTTCAAAAGTCACCTCTTCTCTGAACTCCTCCACAGTGACACCTCGCTGCATCCCCAGTGAAAGCCCCGTGTGGCGGACCCCTCTTTGTCTCCATTGCCGTCAACATTCCTATAGTACACTGAGACCAACGAGGCTTTACTCACACTTGAATTTTCCTTACTCTGTCCACTGCTCAAAGGTCTTGGCTGCCTTTACTGTAACAGATGTTTTAGTTATCTTTTGACTTATAGAGCCCAGCACACAGTAGATGCACTGTAAGTGCTAAATGAATAAACAATTATCAGAGAACACTTGCCTGCACATGTTCCCATTTTGAGAAAATGCTTTAGGTAAGCTGAAAAATAGGAAGTGCTGGGCCAGCCTTACTGATAGGCCACAGACCACAGTGCTTTGCTCATAAAATTTCTACATTACTATGTATTGGCCTATAAGTTCCCTTATAATTTCTTATAAGGGAATAAAGGCCTTCTTTTATCAGATTTAAGCTTGAAATGAAAATCCTATTATCACTTCTTCCAAAAAATGTTTACACTGGTTTTATTCAACACTGATATAAACATGCTTCATTTCAGATTTTGCCAGAAAGCTGAGGAAAGAAAATGGGAAAAAATATCGTAAGCCCATAGCAGGATCCAATGACTGTCAATATCTGGTGGAAAAGACAGAGAAGGCACTCCGAATGTCCTGTTTTCAAATTCCTAAAGAATTTTCTTTAGCCTTCTACGATTATGTATTTTACCTTCCAAATGAAATGTGTAATCTTTAAGTATCAGGGTTTGGGGGAAGTTTAAACGAGAAAATGCATAGGATAGTACCATGCTTTGACAAAGTAAACAGCTGATTAAAAAAGAAAAAGAAAATTCTCCTCCCAAGTTCATCAGTTTGTAACCATAATAAACTTGTGAGCTTTTCTCTTGTCCCTGGCTACAGTTTGGACCTTAAAATATTCCCAAAAGGATCATATGTTGAAGGCTTGGTCCCTAGTCTGTTATGCTGGAAAAATGGTAGAACCTTTAAGAGATAAGGCCCAGTGAAAGGAACTTAGGTCACTGGGGACATGCCATTGAAGAAGGTATTAGAATCCTGTCCCCTTCCCTTGCTCTCTCTCTTTTGCTTACTGGCTGCCATGAAGTGAGCAGTCTAGTGCATCTCACACTCCCTCTATGGTGTGCTGCCTGCCACGGGCCCCCAAATGACAGGCCAACCAACCATGGACTGACACCTCCCAAACTGTGAGTCAAAATAAAGCTGTCCTCTTTTTGAGTTGATTATCCCAGGTGTTTTGTTACAGTAACAAAGTTAACATAGCCAGACTTCTAAAAAAGAGGAACACAAGGAGTAACTTATATCAGTAGTTCCCAAACTACTGATACATATAAAATCACTTAGGATGATTTTAAAATTCTGATGCTTGAGTCATACCCCATAGCAATTATTTTAGAAATGCCTGAGGGTAGGAACCAAGCTATAGTACTTTTGAAAAATTCCCACTTGATTCCAGTGTACAGCAAAGTTTGAGCCAATGTGATAAAATGGCCTGTGGGTGGCTCATTTAGCAACTGGTGCCTGATGCTAACAGGGTCCAAGTTTAGACTCCAGTCCAGAGTAGCACAGTTCTTAGCCCTTGCACAAACCCATAACTCAAGCCCTTCTCCTTTTCAATGATCCTCTGGTAAAGCTCTTTGTAAATGGACCGTAGACGGTAGAACAGTGGATCCACTCATCCCAAGTACTGAAACAGCAAAAGAAAAAAAGCACAGGAAACACCCATCTCTGTAGTACTTTTTCATTTATAAAGTGCTATTGTTATTTAATCTTCACAATAACATTGCATAGTTGGAATTATTATTATTTTTAGATCAAAACAATCAAAAACTAAAAGGGAGGTTCACCTTTCTCTGGGACAAAGTGACAGATCCAAGGGTTTTACACTGAGGCCCAGGACTCTGGAATCCATGCTGTTTACCTGAACCACCCTGCCTGGAAAACCCTACTGAGTACCACTCGGCAACATCACATCCACAGCTGAGGGTGGATTCGGAGCTAGGGTCTAGTTTCTCTAGCATACCTGGAAGGAAGGGAGGAAAGAAAAGGAAGGAAATATGGTTAAATGTATCTGAATTAAACAGGTTTAATTTTACCAGGCCTTTTCAAATCATTTCATATGCTAAGGAGCACTGGAAATGTCTAAAACCTAAAATTTCCAAACTGATTGAATGGTGAAACCCCTTTCAAGCTCACATTTCTCAGGACCAACATCTTAAGGAACACCACTGGATAACTGTTACAATGGCTTTCCTCGGTTCCTTCCAAACCATGTTCAGTGTCACTCTTTTAGAAGGACCCACCCACTCCATACGCTATTTAAAACTGAAACATCATCTGTCCCTAGTCCAGTGTTCCCCTCCTACTTTATTTTTCCCCCATTTCCCTCAATACCTTCAAATACACTTGATATTTACTTATTCATTCCATTTACAGTCTGCCTCGCCCTTTATGTCTACAAGCTTCGTGGGAGCAGAACATTTTCTGGCTGTTATGGTTTATACATGAAGTGTCCCCCAAAAGCTTGTGAGACTATACAAAAACGTTCAGAGTGAAATGATTAGATTATGAGAGTTGTGACTAATCAGTGGATTAATCCACCTGTGTGGATTAACTGGGTGGTAACTATAGGCAGGTAGGGTATGGCTACAGGAAGAGGGTCATTGGAGGGGATGTGCCTCTGGGGGTTTATATTATGTCCCTTGTGAGCAGAGCGTTCTCTCTGCTTCCTGATTGCCATGTCCTGAGCAGTTTTCTTTTGCCACATCCTTCTACCATGATGTTCTGCCTCACCTAGCTCCAGAGCTAGGGAGTTGGCCAACCATCATCTGAACCTGTGAAGCCATGAGCTAAACAACTTTTTTCTGTATGTTGTTTTTGTCAGGTCTTTTGCTCACAGTGATGAAAATGCTGACTAAAACACTGACTTTTTTTTTCCACACAGTGTTATCTCCTGTACCTAGAAGAGCCATTGTCACAGAGTAGGTGTTCAGTAAGTGTGTGGTAAATGAATGATTGGCCAAAGAGAAATGCAGCATGGGAGAAATTCAAATGAAGGTAATATGTCCATAGTTAGATCCCCTTTAAAAGCACCTTTGTTTTCCAATTCTAGTTATACCTCATAATGATCTAATTAAGTGGAGAGGATCCCTATCTTAGAGAAAAATCAAGTGAGAAAGTGATTCAATCTGTAAGCAGAGCAAAACACTGGTTAAGCAAAAAGATCGTTAAATTAGAATTGATCCTTTTAATTTTCTGTGTAATTATTATGAGATAAAACATATAGAATGGCTGTTTCCAACAGCAGATGTGAAACCTCACAGAAATGTGGTAAGTCATGAATCGTACAGAGACCTACTAGATCAGCTGAGGGGACTACTGTTTATACACCAAAACCAGACCAAACTGAAATATAAAAATTTAGCAGATCCCTGACATTAAAAAAAAAAAAAATGTTAATCATTGAGTGGATTCAGATCTCCATAGGTCAAATCGTATCATGGAAGGGTGTTCCATAGAATTCTAATGGAAGTCTTTGCATCAGTTCAGAGCTCTTTTCTATAAAGGCCAAAGTGCTGTGAACAATTCAAATATAAACAGGGATGATGATGGTCCATCGAGCTCAGAAAATGACCCAATTGATCGATTCCACTCCAAACAGAGTGAGTAACAATGAAGTGGAGAATACATAGTAATAACACTGAATGAATGGTCCACTCCTCTACATTTCCCTTTCTATCCAGAAAAATCACATTTATGAAGGAAGTTCTTTTAGTAATGAAAGTGGTATTTATTAAATACACCAGAAACTACACATCCAAACTAGCATTTCCCTTCAAAACAGTCACTTGGGGAGGCTACGTAATTACCTCAGTGATCCTGTGATTGCTCTAAACATTTAGGGAATTTCTCTTTTAAAATCAACTTCATAGCTGGTTTAGGACTCATACAGAAAAGCAATATCATTTCTTTATGGCTATACTTTATATAACGAAAATACCACATTTCAATTCCCAGCAAACTGGGTTGGTCAGTGTTGTAGGTTTCAAACAGGCTGCCCAGCAGATTCTCCCAGGTACATATTAGAAACACAGCATGCCAGGCTGACCCCAATACACATTGTAGTAAAGTCAGGGCTGGGAAGTGGGAGTCTGTTTTGAATGATCCCTGATACATCCAATTTTTGTTGTGAACTATGGGACAGAGTGCCTGGCTATTAAGACAGGGTTTGGTGTCTCAACACTATCCTGAACCTGAACCAGTTAGGATAGTTAAAGAACTCAAAGTCTGAAATTCTAATACCCACGCATTCATCACACATCACCTATGAAACTCTTGCCTTTGGTTTTATAGAGGGGAACCTTTTCTTTCACTTGAGAATATCAAGGGAATGACTGTGGATGGTTAAGTTCAAAATCATACCCCATTGGAACATCCTCTCTTGCCATGCTGCCTTGACCAATCACATCTTCAACCTTTCATTTGGAGACAGTCCCAGAATAGAGAGGGGAGGTTCCAGAATAAAACTGTCTGAAGTCAAACCCTTACTCATTAGTCAATCAGGTAACCTTGGAAAGTTGCTCACCTGCTTTGTGTCTTTGTTTTCCTACCTGTGAAATGTATCTACTAATAGTATTTTCCTCCTAGGGATGAAGAGAAAATTGAGATAATGTATATACAATGTTTAGTACAGTATTCAACGTTTTCAACAAATATTAGCTATTATCATTTTTTATACTTATGTGCTAATGATCCTTAAATCATAAATTCTAGATCTGAAATTACCCTCCTTTCTTAACATTAATACACAGATGCCCAAAATTACTCTAAGTATTTTGAGACTTCATTTTTGGTTTACGAGACCAAAGTAATGTTTATACTATTAGCATTTCAAACTGACCGGTTACAAAACTGAATTAATTATTGGCCCAACTTCCCAAATTCTTTTAGCTTCTCAGCTCCCAATCGTGGTTCAAGGTATCAGCTGTAGGATTATTCAGTCCTGAAACAAAATTTATCTCAGATTCCTTCTCCTATCTTACTCTACCTCAAACCCACATGCTCATGTGCACATTAATTTAATTATAAAGTCATGTTGATTCTACTTTAACAATTTTTCTTTCCACTCATGTATGTGTGTGTGTATGTTGAACCAACATTTATTAAACCATTACTACATGCCAGGTCAAAACACAGTAGATGCATTAATATAATCTTACAACAATCTTATGAGGTGCTATTTGTTACTTCCATAATAAAGATTTAAAAACTTAGGTGAAAAGAGATTAAGAAATGTGTGGGAGTTCAGCAAATCACTCTGGAAGTCAATCCTCAACGTGCCCCACAGCATTGGTCTTCACTATTATAGAGCATTGATGCTAAGATTTTTCAAATAATAATAATTAAAATGTGTTGAGTTCTCAATCTGACATATTCTCATAGAAATCCTCTCATATAAATGCTGTTCAAACGCCATTTTGGCTGGGTGCTATGGTGCAATGCCTGTAATCCCAGTGACTGGGGAGGCTGAGGCAGGAGGATTCCAAGTTTGAGTCCAGTCTCAGCAATTTGGCAAGGCCTCAAGCAACTTACCAAGACCCTGTTTCAAAAATAAACATAAAAAGGGCTGAGGATGCAACTCAGTGGTAAAGCTCCCCTGAGTTCAATTCCTTGTATAAAAACAAAACAAAACAAAAGCCCAACTTTTACAGACAAGAAAATTCCACCCACAGTGTATGAACTACCATTTCTCCAGTTCTCTCCCAGGTCTTCTCTACACCCTCCAAGTTAAAATCTTCCCAACTACTTACTTCACCCTCAGATTTCAGAATAACTTCCCAAAATTCAGTCCTTGTCTTTTCTTATTTAACAAATAGGTACTGAAGGCCAGCTAATCCATCACTCACACATTCAAGGTAAATCTGACATAGCCTCGGCCTATAAGAAGCCCTTACTGTTTGGGGAAACAGGCACAATAATAGATAATTCTAGTGTCATATGAGTCCTATAGAGGTACCCAGGAAAGGGCTTCTAATGCATCATGGGGTAAGATGATGGAGGTCAAAGACCACTGAGGACAAGATCAGAGACCTAGAGAGTCAGCCAGGCAGCTGAGGGTGGAGAGATAAGAAGAAGGAAAAAGAGAAAGACTGATTGGAGTTGGAGGGGAAACATGAACAAACACAGAGACTATTGTGAGTAAGAGACTTTAAGAAACTCCATGTAAAAATATTCCAAGCCATTCCATGTCAAAGGCCCTGAGAAGCTGGCATGTTTGCTCTGCTCAAGAAATAGCAAACAGTCTCCACGCATCTTCCTTCTGTGGTCAGACTTGGCATAGAAATCTGATTCTCCCAGGCAGAATCAGAAGTGGGACAGGGTGGGGTGCTGGAAATACTGGGGGACGAAAGCAGAGAGCAAAGCCAATGGAGGGTCCTGATCAGAAGAAAAATCTGATACCATTTTGACAAGAAGCACTGTTCGCTCTGATCCTGGCTGCTATGGAACACAAATACTTTCTGGAAAAACTGTTTCCAGAACAGGACTCTACACTCAAACTATCCTCTAGAGCCCCGTTTTTGTTGTTTTGGTTTTTGGTTTTGTTTTTTTTTTTCAGTTGTAGATAAAACAAAGAAACAAAATAAAGGTATTGTATCTATTTATTTATTTGGTGCTGCGGTTCGAACCCAGTGCCTCACACATGCTAGGCAAGCATTCTACCACTGAGCCCAGCCCCTAGAGCGCTGTTCTTTCCACAGCACCTATTCCTTCTGAAGCTCACAAAAATTCTTACCTTTGCTCTTTCATAGACTTAACTTTGGCTCAAACAAAATAAAATATGGCCAAGGTCAAAGATGGAACTAAGTTGTGTGTCTCCTGTAGCCCCTTTAACAGTGCTGGAATAGACCACACATGGCTGGGAGCATCCTATAGAGTTCTGGTACCCAGTAAGTGTTTAGTCATTTGGGAAAAGTCCAACAGGCTATTGTTTAAAACAAATGAAATGGGAGAGGAGCAAATAGAAAGACACCATGGACTTGCAGTCAAAATAGAGAAAGAGGGAAAAAAATCTTAGAGCCTAGACTCAGAAAACTTGGCTTCTGGGTGTGGCTCCATTACTCAAAACTTAAGGAAAGCTGGAAGAAAATAGTGACAAGTCTCTTGTGAAGACAAGCCACTGTTTTCTCAGTTATAATACATTTCCTATCCAATATTTTTAATTTTATAATAAAAATGTGATGAACAGTATGATTTCAGATTCATAAAAACTCCTCCTATGGATGAAGCTTCCACAGTAGATAACAAACCTTGGGAAAGGCTTCCATGATGAGTTAACTTCTCGGGGAAACAGCTTTTGGATGATCATGGTTTAAGCATGTTCATGTGAACACAGTTAGATAATTAAAGTATAACATTCTGTTGAGTTCCTATTCCCTGTGACCTACTCATTCCCAAAGATGATCCCATGAGACCCACATGCAAATTCAGTTCCATTCCAATATGCCTCCAGACCAAGAAGGTGAATATTAAATCATGGTTATCCTTCTTCTCATATTGTTCTGACAGGATATCCTAACTCTAGTAACTAAACTCCTCTTGTCTATAATCACATTCTTTGCTCTAAAAATAACCCTAGTAGCCAATTCTTAAAAATCACTTATTAAATGTTATACTCTTAATGTAGTTCAGTCATGTGATGAGCACTTTAACATCACAATAATCCTCCAAGGTAAGCTTTATCTCATTTTATAGACTTTGTAGAAGTTGAAGTTGAGAGAGATTAAATATTTTGGCAAGAGCCAGTGGTTAGTTAGTGGTGGGGCCAGCATTCAAATTGAGCTATTTATCTCCCCAGCCTTAGTCAGAATGCTCTGAGGGCTCCAATCTGGCTCGTGAATGCTGACCCTGTGTGTGGGTCCTCTCTACAGCAGCCTGCAGTCTGTATCTTTCTGGGTCACTGCCAACTGGTCTCACCTGGACTTCCTGGATAGCTGGGAAGGCACCACCTACCACTTGCTGGACTTCCTGATGCTGACTCCTGCAGGAACCCCAGCCTGTCTCCATGGTAACGGATTTGCACACTATTCTTCTGCTTAGATTTTTCCCCTCCTACCTACATGTGGACAATCAGCCTCACACCTGCCCTATCCTAGAAGCCACCTCTAGCCTCAAGTTTTAGTTTTTTGCCAGCTGGTAATTTCCAAGCACATGAAATTGTTGACTGTGTGACCTTGAGGTCTCCTAGGGGGCAATGCTAGAGGTCATGACATAGATACCAAGAAACATCCTCATTTGCACCCTATGTCACTTTTTAGAGAAACAAAATAAACCTTTACACTGTATAATTATCATGTTAAGAGCCAAACCAGAGTGACTGAATCAGACTGGTGAATTCAGTTGTCTGTGTGGAAGTTGAAGGTCAATGAAATATGCCCAAATTGGTAACCAAAATAATAGATTTAATTTGCCATGAATTTTAAAAAACTGTTTTTTCCAAAGACAAAAATAGTAAATTTCTGAGAACAGTGGACAACTTTAAATACAATAGTCTCTGAGCTATAGATTTCAAACAATTTTCAAACAAGGGCACCATTGTTTTTGAAAGGAATGGTATTTAAAATCTCATACAGAACTGAGATCAAAGGGGAGAATCTCTAATTCAATGGCAGCATGAAGGTCATCTCTCTTCTAAGTGGTCCCGATCTGGTCAGGGAGACCTGTCAGATAGCTCCTTGCCAAAACAGACAGACAGACATACACACATACACACACAAAACAAAACAAAACAAAAAAAACCTCTATCTGATCTCAGTATTTTTTTAAGGGCTTATATGACTAATTCCTGAAAGTGTTTTGTGTGAATTACTCAAGATGATATGCTCTATATGTGTAATAAGAATTATAATGCATTTACCATCACATATAAATAATAAAAAAAATAATTAAAAAAAAAGATAGGGTTGTAAAAGACATGGATAGTTTTACTTTAGGAACTGAATATGAAGGAAGAGGAAAACCTCTGAGTTGCCCAGGATAAAGAATCTCACTGACCAAGGGGGATTTTGTAAACAAAATTCCCATAGCAGGCTTCTTGATAACATCACCTCTCTTGTTACTAGATGTTTGGCAGACCTGCAGTTCTCCTGACAAGGGGATACTTGGCTTTGAATTTTGCCCCCATCCCCATGACCAACCCTACCTCCAACCCTACTGCCTGTAACCTTGACCACTTCCTTTGCCTGGCTGCGGTGGTTCTAAACTCCCTCCTATCACTCTAAAGTGTCCAACACTATAAAAATTTTATGGTACACAATAGATTTTTGCCTAATTCTATGTTCTTACCACCACCTACAAGCCTATCATGATTTAAAAGTCAGCCCCTCCATCTCTCCTCTTCTGTTACCATCTGGAAAAATTAAAAAATTTAAACTGGAGTGATGAAGACAGTTTTAATAGATCTAGACATATTGATTAGACTGATTATTTTCCATATTTTAATCTGTTTTGCAAGGGAAGCAGAAATATTACAGCAGAACTCAAACTTTGACTTCTCTCAGTATTTTCTGGCTGATAATAGTCTGGCTTAGTCTTAGAACTTAGAAGAAAAAAAGAAGAAAAAGAAACAGTGAATTTTGCCATTCTGTGATGTTACATTAGAAAAATTAAAGATAATAAATAAATATGATAGTATTCATTTGTTCTCTTAGAACATTTATAAGATATTCCCTTCTAATGTTCACTAGATTCTGCATGACTCCAACTCTCCTGTCCTGGGTAAACAGTTTAGCTTACATTAATTTTTATTGGTAGTGGCATTACCCAGCACTCAAACTACAACCATAATTTATTCATGGATGAATCAAATGTCAATGCTTCCCTGACAGAGTCTTGTGTGATTTCCAGTTATGTCCTTTTACTTGGAATCAAAAACTTATATTGCACTTTTACTCCCTCGGGGTTAGTTTGGAAAGTTTGTTTTATTAGGCAACAGACATAGGAAAAGGTTCCAGTTCTTCTTAATAGTTGCATTTAAATGCATATATGAACATTTCATTGTAGGTAGTTGGGACTAAAAGTTCACAAGGAAGTTAGCCATTAGATATATGGTCTGTTTCTATGCCCAAAGTTAATGCTGAAATGTTCAAAAAACTCTCCTAAAATTCAATCTGAGCTACTTATGCACAAGGGCTGTAGGATTGGCCTCCATACAATTATTTAAGATGTTATAAAGAGTGTTTTCCATCTTTCTTATGCTTGGAAATACTTAGATTTTATGACTGCTGAGTCAGAGCCAAAAAAATATAATTTTATGCCATAATATACAACCTTTTCCTTTGGCTGTGAAAATTTATATGTACATATTTATGTGCATATATAGATAAAAATCTTCATAAACAGAGTGGCCCATTTGAGATGAACTCTATTTAAAGCATGCCATTACTGACTCTGATGATATTACTGCTAATGTTTAAAAAAATCAGTTCTCTCCATAACTTACCAAATTATAAACAAATACCCTAAACTGGTACTCAAATTTATGCAGTTTTTTTTTTGTTGTTGTTGTTGTTTTCTACTTTTTTCTGCCTTTTCTTCTAATCCTTTATCATACAACTTCTTAACCTTGTGAAAAGAGCCCAGATAGAGTTCCTACTATCCCAACCTCTGATTTTCTTTCAAAAATCCACTATTTCCATATGTCAAAATCCTACTCATCCTTCAAATCTCTTCCTAAATGCTACCTCCCTATAGTCAATCTCCACCTTCGCTTACAATTTCTCCACCACTTGGACTTTCATAAGTTATTGCAGTTTTCTCATGGTATTTGCCATAATTCGACTTTGTACTTATGGGTGTCCCTTAGTAAGGGGTGAGGAAGTGTTGTACCCTTGTCCCCCATAAATTCATATGATCCTTGAGGATAGGGTTGAGGATAGAGGTATGTCTGAAGTCTTTGCAGACTGCAGCATCTAACTTAACCTCACACAAAACAGTTATTCTAGGGAGGAAAATAAATAAATAAAACTACCAGGTGCAGTGGTGCACACCTGTAATCCCAGTGACTCAGAAGGCTAAGGCAGCAGGATTGACAGTTCTAGCCAGTCTAAGCGATTTAGTGAGTCCCTGTCTCAAAATAAAAAAATAAAAAGGGCTGGCATGTGGACCAGTGGTAAAGTATTCCTGGGTTCAATCCTCAGTGCCACAAAAAAATTAAAAATAAAACTGTTGAATTAAAGCAAATGAACCTTTTATTTAAAAAATCATTACAATAATAGATTTACAACAAGCTGTATAGGTTCCTGTTAAAATTGTGATGTCTGATAACTGATACAAAAACATGAACTGGGATAGACTAAAAGACTATCTTTACTTATGATAGATGGGCTTTATCTATATGATAGATTTGGGACAACATCAAATGCAGAAGAGCAGAGAATTAATTGATTTTCTTACCACAGTGCTCAGGTTATATTTGTATAAACCAGTGAAAAGAATATTACAAGAGGACTTCATGACATGGAATGGGATAAAAGTTTTATTGCATTTAGATGTTATGCAAAGCCACTTTAAATAGGCTCTGAGAAAAACCAAGAAAGTTGGCTACAAACTCTATGCTCTATTCCATACACATTTTTTGCTACCCATAGACATAGATCCAGAGACCACCTTAATCTCAGGTAAGAGGTATGAGGTCATTTTCTGTTTCCTTATAATCAAATTATTTAGATGTGTTTCTCTGCTAATGTTCTGGACTGAACTAGATGAAGCACCCAAGTTTTGGATAAGCCATTCAAGGAGATGAGGAAATTGCAAACATTCTCCATTTTTCACAGTTGGAGAGGGAACTTCTCACCAGGTGCCATCTTTCACTTCAATCAATTTAAGTACTATTTTAAAACACACATCTCCTCTACCTTTTAACACACCCCTGCCCTAGTGGGGGAGGTTGCCTCCACCTACCCCAATGACTGTCTTGATCAATGGAGCCAAATACTGTAGTTGGAAGAAAATCTGAAGTCGTCCAATATTCCAGATAAAATCTGGGGACTGTAGACAGTAAAGTAGACAAAATTTTTAAAGAAGAGTCCAAAAAAGTCAAAGAGGCTAGTGGCAAAATGGTTACAGTATATGAAAAGGTCCAGTGTTTAGAGAATTCTGAGTGGTTTTAATTTCTGACTTCCAGAATACAGCATATCATTAAAGGTCTTTTAGTTGGGGTAAGTGTGCCTTGACCTTTTTAAGGGGTAAATCATCCCTGTTCAATGAGTTTCTAATTCTAAGCCACATCACTAGCTTACTTTATTGCTCACTAGAAAGTTTTCCAAGCTCATCATATCCTGAAGTTCATGTGTGAACCCTCCTCAACAGCTGGACCACAGACATACACATGGCACATAGGCTGCCAGCCCCACCCAGCCTTGGATCCCTAGAAGACAGCGTTAACCAATCATGGTACACTTTTGTACCCATACCAAACATGGCCTCAGGATTTTTCTGAACATAGCATGCTAAAAACTTACTCCCAGTTTATCAGTGAGTTGAAACCATGATACCAGCCCTGTGATAGGGAAATCCTGCTCTCCTCTTTCTTGGTCTCATCCTCCAAACCTATCTTATTGATGACAAGGAATCACTGACTTTGATTAGTTATGATTTCTTACATTCCAAACCATTGCATGCATATGATCTCGAATTTTACCCAAGTGACTCCTGGCTTTAGTTTCCTGTTAGGGTTAGCCCTGCTTCCACCCCCATCCTTTTACGAATGCCACTCTGAGTTAGAAGGCAAACATCCAGTAATTCTAGAATTAAAGTCGTCATTTTTTATTGTTTACTCCAAGTGTGGACCATACCGAAAAGTATCCTAAGAACAGGTCCCCATTTAAAAATAGAGGTCAGTCACTGGGGACCTGGAGCTCAAGATGCCAAGAGACTGACTGCTTGAGAGGCACACTGAAATTTCCTGGTCCTTCTCTTTCACCCCTTCAACACAGACACCTTGAGAATCGTTACACCTACATGGATGGCATAAGCTCTGGAGCCTCCAACATCCCCTCACACAGAGGATGTGACCAAGGGTTTCACCACCCCACTGTTTCCAGCACTCAGCTCACCAAAACAAAGGTCAGCCTTTACCACTGCTGAACATCACTGAATCCTGCTGCAGACTGCAAAATAGGGTGGACTGTTCAGCTGAAGTGAACAAATGGATCATTCTGACAGGGATTCACACAATTTCAAAATTTATGTGCAGATGAGTCCAGGGCATTCAAAACTGGAAGAATGATATGAATGAGCCAAAGAAGAAAGTCCTCTTCAAAAAGTTTGCAGGATTTCAAAAACTTGAGGAAGTTTTCAGAACAAAAGCATTTTGCAAGAAGGGTTCTCTGGATTAAAAAAGTTTTTAAATCATTCTCCTAGATCCAGAGAGTCCCCCTAATCATCTCCCATTTTTTTTTTTAACAGCTGGCTCTTATGTCAACAGAATCTTCTCAAGAGTGGGATAGTTTTTGAGAACTCTTGATAGTCACTGTGGAAAACTAAAGATAGCAACAAATTATTTGTTCCCCATCTCATTAAGAAAATAATAGCTCTGCCCATGGTATATAAGTTATTAGAATTCAGTACAAGTGGCATTCTGGGACTTTCAAGGTGAATTCATAAGAAACTTTGCAGTTTTTATCCAGGTCTTTTGAAACGTTCTCTCACAACACATTCCCTCTTGGAATCCAGTCACCATGATGTGAGAAGCCCATGCCACATGGACAGAGGTCAACATCCCCACCTGAATTCCCAGACAATGGCCAGCGTCAACTGCCAGCCATGTGAGTGACCCATTTGGCTTCTAGCCCTTAACCACAGTGCTATCTAGCCGACATCTGCCTGCAAATACAGAAGAGACCCAAAGGAAGAAGTGTCCAGCCAACTCTTCCCAAATTCTTGATCCACAAAACGACGAGCAAAATAAAATGGTTGTTTTAAGCCACCAAGTTTTTATGTGGTTTTCACATGGCTGTACATAAGTAGAGCAGAATTTGTTATCAGAAGGGTACTCTGTCATGAAAATCTAAAATGGGTGACAGTGATTTGGGGACCAAGAAGTACCACCAGTTCTTAGGGCCTTGAGGGGGTGTTTAATGACAGCTGGAAGAGCTTCATGGAAATGAGAATATGAAGGATAGAAAAATATGGGGGAGGGGGGCTTTGGAAAAGTCACCTGAATTAAAAACCAGCAGAACAGTTGGCAAAATTCTTGCCTAGAGTAATACTGAAAATAGAAGAGACTGAGTATCTAATGATTTTGAGATGATGACTAAGAAGATCTCTAGGTAGAATGTTGAAAAATGTTTCTCGTAGCTGCCTTTAATAAAATTCAGGAAGAGAAGGATGAATTTTTTTTAAAAAGACTATTCAAAAAAATTGAGAATTCAGGTGAATTACAAAGGATCCAGGATTTACTGGATATCAAAATAAACTGTTTCTCACCTCCAGTCTTTCTCAAAAAGGATTCTCAAAATAAGAAATGGTTAATATAGATCAAATCCCAAGTCTTTGTTAAGATCTCAGAAAGGGTTCCAGTAGTATAGTCCACTGGTAGAATGCTTGCCTAGCATGCACAAGGCCCTAGGTTTCATTCCCACTACAGATGGATGGACATGGATGGAAGGTAGACATCAGAGAGATTTGAGAGGATGCCCCTTTCCACAACAAAAGGTCTTTCTAAGGTTCTCCAGGCAAGCATCATTGACACTGTGAATTAAGAGAACTTCTAAGTATCCAAATTGTGTTATAAGTAGCCTATTATAGGGCTCAAGATAATGAAGGATGTAGTAAAGAGATATGAAGGTGAGGCCAATAACTCATGGGAAATCCATTAAACTTTTTTTTAAGAGTATTGTGTTGGAAGAAGTGTCAGCAGTCTTGACTAAAGAGGACAGACAGAACAGGATGAAGCCTTGAGACTCCCCATCTTCTGACAGAAGGACAGAGGCTGAAAAAGCTACTTATTTACAGACATGCTTTTTTTTTTTTTTAATTTAAGGAAAGCTGATTCAAAGATGGAACCAATATATATGAGAACAGACATAAGAGCTCCAGAGAATTATTCCAAGAAAGCAAGACTGGAATCTAATCAAGGTGCTGGCAACATGTGACCAGCTCAATTTTCATAATTGCCGTGGATCAGTAACTGCTTTAGCTTCCCATCCCACCTCTCACTTTTCTGACTGCGAGTGTTTACACAGTTCTCTCTCTACCACCATCATCTATGAAGTATATGTGTGTGAGGAGGGATGGCAGATAACTTATCTTCAGATTAAGAGAAACCATTTTCAAAGAACTACCCCCAGGAAGACCAATCCATATCTGGACCTGATTTAGATGACAAAATCCTGAGCTTTAAAACCAATGTTTCAATAAGAAGAAACTCTGGGAGTCTTGGGAAAGAATAGTTTTCATTTTGGAAAAAAATTAGTAGTTATTACCAGTAGGCTTACAAAT